AAAAAGCCTTTGTGGAGCTGCTCTTCTGGAAGAGCCCAGCCATCGTCTGTGAGATGACCAAGGGCTACAGCTCCCTGCAGGAGGGAGAGGGGTGAGTGGGGCAGGGAGGGTGGGACAGTGCTCACAGGGGCTCTGGGGTGAGGGAAGAGACGAGGATCTGACTCCGTGTTTCAGAGGGCTTGATTTATTATTTTATGATATATATTACATTAAAACTGTACTAAATAGAAGAAAAGGTTCTCCTCAGAAGGCTGGCTAAGAATAGGAGCAGAAAGAATGATAACAAAGGTTTGTGGCTAGGGCTCTGTGTCCAAGCTAGCTGGGCTGTGTTTGGCCATTAATTACAAACATTTAACATGGACTAATCACAGATGCACCTGTTGCATTCCACAGCAGCAGATAATCAATGCTTGCCTTTGGTTCCTGAGGCCTCTCAGCTTCTCAGGAGGAAAAATCCTAAGGAAAGGATTTTTCATAAAAGTTGCCAGCGACAGGAGGGGCTGCTCCCCTCCCCTCACCTCCCTTCTCCCCCTCCCCAGGACCACCCGGAGCCGGGTCCCCCCCTGGACCCCGCAGGAGGAGCAGGAGCTGCGGGAGCTGTACTGGAAGTACAAGGAGGTGGAAGGTACTGGGGGTCTCTGGGGTCTCAGTGGGACCCCCGGGGGGGTGGCAGGGGCTCTGTCCCTTCATCCTTGCTGTCCCACAGGTGGGGACACCATCGCCGCCATCCTGGCCCATCTCCCCACGCCCGGGCGGACGCGCAGGCAGGTGGTGAAGCAGCTGGTGAGGATGGGGCTGGCCAGCAGTGCCAAGGACTTCCCGAGGGAGAGGTGGGTCAGGGACCCACCCCGGGGACAGGGCAGGGACCCCTGGGACAAGGCAGGGACCCCCAGCTGTTTCCCACCCCTCAGGAAAGGCACCCGCATCGTGCTGTGGACGCAGGAGCAGGAGGAGGAGCTGACGCGGCTCTTTGAGGAGTTCCAGGGCTCGGATGGTGAGCTGGACACAGGGGGGGAAGACCCCAAAAATGCCCCTGTAGCCTCCCCAGCCTGACTCTCCTCCCCACAGACGTCCTGGGGAACATCATGAAGCACCTGACGGCGCGGCGCTCGCGGGCTCGGGTGGTGGAGAAGCTGCTGGGGCTGGGGCTGGTGGCTGAACGCAAGGAGCTGTACAAGAAACGCAGGAGGAAGAGCCAAGGACCCGGCCCTGGGCAGGTATGGGGGGCTGGAGGGTGCTGGGCTGTGCCCTGAGGGTGCTGTCCCCATCCTGGGGGCACCCAAACGGGGCCTGTCCCCACCCTAAGGGCACCCAAATGTGGCCTGTCCCCATCCTGGGGGCACCCAAACAGGGCCTGTCCCCACCCTAAGGGCACCCAAACGTGTCCTGTCCCCATCCTGGGGACGCCCAAAGGGGGCCTGTCCCCACCCTGGGGGCACCCAAATGGGGCCTGTCCCCACCCTAAGGGCACCCAAATGGGGCCTGTCCCCACCCTGGGGGCACCCAAACAGGGCCTGTCTCCACCCTGGGGACACCCAAACATGTCCTGTCCCCATCCTGGGGGCACCCAAACAGGGCCTGTCCCCACCCTGGGGACACCCAAACGGGGCCTGTCCCCACTCTGGGGACACCCAAACGTGGCCTCTCCCCACCCTGGGGACACCCAAACGGGGCCTGTCCCCACCCCTGGGACCCCCAAACCCTGCTGGCTCCCACAGGCTGCCCCAGGTGTCCCGGCCATGCCAGCCCAAGACAGCTCAGGAGAGGATGAGGACAGCGAGGAGGAGGAAGAGGAGGACGAGGACGATGAAGGCCTCATGGAGGAGCACTGGGTGCCTGAGGAAGGGGCTGGGCAGGACCTGGCGCAGCACCTGCATAGGGAAGGTGGGTGAGGGGCTCCAGACCCCCCCAGCTGGGTTTGGCTGAGGGGGGGGGGATCCTGCTGGATCCTGCTGGATCCTGCTGGATCCTGCTGGATCCTTTGTCACCTTCTGCTGTCCCCAGGGCTGGCCGGGCCCCTGCGGTGGCTGCAGAGCTGCCTGCGGAGGGCAGCGGGGGACCGCGAGGAGGACGGTGAGTGGGGTCAGGGCCGGTGAGTGGGGTCAGGGCCGGCTGGGCTGGGGGCTGTGGGGTCGGGGTCCCGCTGATGGTGCTCCCACCCCAGGTGTGTCCCACCCGGTGCCGCTGGTGCCGCTCACGGAGGAGAACGAGGATGCTATGGAGGACCGGCGCTTCCGGAACCTTCTGCGGCAGCTGGGGCTGCGGCCACCCGCCAGTGAGCAGGTGAGGTGCCTGTCCCCATCCCTATCCCCATCCCCTTGTCCCCGTCCCTATCCCCATCCCCTTGTCCCCACCTCTGTCCCCACCTCTGTCCCCACCCTTGTCCCCATCTCTGTCCCCACCCTTGTCCCCATCCCCTTGTCCTCATCCCCTTGTCCCCCCCATCCCCTTGTCCCCATCTCTGTCCCCACCCCTGTCCCCATCCCTGTCCCCATCTCTGTCCCCATCCCTATCCTCATCCCCTTGTCCCCATCCCCTTGTCCCCATCCCCTTGTCCCCATCTTTGTCCCCACCCTTGTCCCCATCCCCTTGTCCCCATCGCCTTGTCCCCATCTCTGTCCCCATCCCTATCCTCATCCCCTTGTCCCCATCCCCTTGTCCCCATCCCCTTGTCCCCATCCCCTTGTCCCCATCTCTGTCCCCACCCCTGTCCCCATCCCCTTGTCCCCATCGCCTTGTCCCCATCCCTGTCCCCACCCCTGTCCCCATCCCCTTGTCCCCATCTCTGTCCCCATCCCCTTGTCTCCATCCCCATCCCCCTATCCCCATCCCCTTGTCCACATCCCTGTCCCCATCCCCTTGTCCCCATCCCTGTCCCCATCCCCTTGTCCGCATCCCTGTCCCCATCCCTGTCCCCATCCCCATCCCCTTGTCTCCATCCCCTTGTCCCCAGCCCCCCTGTCCCCATCCCCTTGTCCCCAGCACAGCCCTGTGGAAGTTTCCAGACAAGGGAAGAGATGAGAATCTTGATTCCATGTTTCAGAAAGGCTGATTTATTATTTTTATGATGTATATTATGTTAAAAGAAAAAGAGATATTAAAACTATACTAAAAGAATAGAAGAAAGGATGTCATCAGAAGGCTAGCAAGGAATAGAAAGGATAAATAATAATAAAATTATTATTATTAAAATAAAAAATAATAAAATTATTATTATTAAAATAATAATAAAATAGAAAGGATAAAATAATAAAATCTTGTGACTCTCAGAGAGTCCAAGACAGCTGGACTGTGATTGGCCATTAATTAAAAACAACCACATGAGACCAATCAAAGATGCACCTGTTGCATTCCACAGCAGGAGAAAATTATTGGTTTTACATTTTGTTCCTGAGGCCTCTCAGGAGAAAAATCCTAGGGATATTTCAGAAAATGGTGTGGCTACACCTTAGGAGAAAAATCCTGGCAAAGGGATTTTTCAGCAAATAGCGTGGCTACACCTTAGAAGAAAAATTCTGGCAAAGGGATTTTTCAGAAAATATCATGGCTACACCTTAGGAGGAAAATCCTAGGGATTTTTCAGCAAATAGCGTGGGTACACCTTAGGAGAAAAGTCCTAGGGATTTTTCAGCAAATATCACGGCTCCACAGCCCTGCAATGTCCTCCTGTCCCTCAGGAATCCTTCTGGCGCATCCCGGCCGCCCTCACCCCGCAGCAGCTCCGGCGTGCGGCCGCCTCCATCGCCCACCGTGGCCCCCCAGGGTCCCCCCAGGACCCTCCGGAGCCCCCCAGGTGCCCCCAGGATGGGGCTGCAGGTGAGGGGTGGGGCCGTGGGGGTGTGGGACCCCCAGGTTTTGGGGCTGGCTCTGAGCCCCTCTCCTTGTGCCCCTCTGCAGAGCCGCTGCTGGCAGGGCTGGGATCAGACTCGGACAGGTGAGAGCAGAGCCCCCTTCTCAGCTTTTGGGGTCCTGGTTGTTTTTGGGGAGGGTCTTCTCCCTGCCTGGGGAGGGGATTCCAGCCCCCTGCATTGTCCCTGAGCTGTGCCAACCCCTGCAGTGAGAAGCCTGTCCCTGTCACTGTCCCCAGCCCGGTGCAGCCGCGCACCAAGAGGCGCCGGGAGCTCGCCAGCGAGGATGAGGATGAGGATGGTGGGAGCTCAGGTGGGTTCAGCCCCCTCTGCTCGCTCCTGGGGGCTGAGTGGGCGCTGCTGGGTCGGGGCTGTCCTGTCCCTGTCCCCTTTGCCACATCCCTGGGGGGCTCAGCCCTCTCCCCTCTCCCTCCATCCACAGGAACTGAGCCAGCCCCTCCAGCTCCCCGCTCTGAGGAGGATGAGGAGGAAGAAGAGGAGGATCCACAGCCCCGGGGCAGGAGGAAGCGCATCCGCTGCTTGGAAGAGGAAGAGGAGGAGGAGGACTGAGAAGCTCCCCATACCCTAGCTGTGCCCAGGGCCTTCTGCTGTTTCCTGGGCTTTTTGCAGATTTTATTGGATTTCTGCAGCTTTTCTGCAGTTTTTCATGGGTTTCTACAGGTTTTCTGGGGTTTCTGCAGATTGCCCTCTGCAGGTTTTGATGCTGTTTTTAAAGGCTGCACAAGCAACCAGTTTCTCCCACCTTCCTCCCCCTTCTCCTGGCGTCACCATTTACCCCAAATTCCCTCCCTTTTTCCTCAGCCGTTGGGGTTTCGGGGTTTTGGGTTTTTTTGTTATCCTAAAACTTTTTAAATCTAGACAAGGCCTAAATAAATAAAAGCGACTTTTGCCCTCCTTGGGTGTGTGTGGGTCTGCAGGGGGGCTTGAGCCTCCCTGGCCTCAGGGCGTGCCCAGTCCCTGTCCCTGTGTCGCAATTCCCCGATAACCGCGGCTATAAAGGGGGCCGGGCTGGCCGCAGTGACCGGACAGGGGAGGGGACAGCAGGACAGGGGACAACGGTGAGCGGGTGAGGAGCCGGGCGGGGGCACCGGGCGGGCTCGGGGGGCTGCACCCACGGGGTTCTGACGGGGTTCTGTCCTTCTCCCACCTCCCAGCGCCTCCGCCATGCCCCAGGTTCTGCTCTTCCTCCCTCTCCTCATCCTCAGCCATGCCATGGCTGCGTCCATCATCAGCCCCGGGCTGGCTGGTGGTGACCGGGCGCTGCTGGCGGAGCTGGCGGGGCTGGCAGAGCCCATCCCGCCGCGGCCACCGGGGCTACCGTGCCAAAGCCTTCATCCTCATCACCTCCCCGGCTTCTCCCGGCTGCCAGCGCTGCCCCGCGGGCTGGCCCGTGCTGCCCTGACCTTGGCACTGCTCAAAGCCGGCTGTGCCCCCCAGGCTGAGGCCGAGACGCTGGAGCTGGCACGGGATGTGGGCACCGCCACGGCCGCGGCGCTGCTGCGGGGGCTGGCGCGGGTACCGGGCACCCCAACCCCGCGGCCGCTGGCGCTGCTGCTGCTCCGGCTGGCGCTGAGCCCGGGGGGCTCTGCCTGTGCGGATCCCCCCGTGCCAGGCACGGAGCCGCCTCTGAGCCGGGACAGCGCGGAGCCCACGCCAGCCCCGAGCCGGGAAAACCGGGAATTGCCGCGGGTCCAACCGTGCGGCGGCGCCGTGCGGCGGCACCGGCGGGAGGATGAGGATGCCTGCAGCCCGGCGGGGGAACGGGAAGCGCACCGGGTGCTGGACTGGGTACCGGGAGTCAGCATCTTCTACAACCTCGGCACCAGCGTCTACTTCGCCTTCCAGGGCTGTGAAGCCACGGCGTCCACTCGAGCGCTGGAAGCCGCCGAGGATTTGGGTTATGCCGGGCTGGCGGCGCTCACCGGCGGTTTGGGGGGTCCGGTGGCCATGGGGGTGCAGCTGGGGCTGCAGCCGGGCCTCAAGGCCGGTGTGAGGGCGCTCATCGGGTATTTCACCTCGGCCGGGGAGCCCTCGCCGGTGCCCACCGCGCACAGCGGCGCCGTGGTCATCGTCTGAATGAATAAAGGGCACGTGTGGCAGGTGGTGCTGGCGGGTCGTTGTTTGGGGACAGATCGATGCGGGGTCACCCTGCCCTGGGGCAGCCGGAGCTTGGCCACGTGGTGGCTTGAGACACGTGGTGGCAGCTGGGCCTGGCTTGTCCCTGTCCCCTACAGCCCCAGCCTTGTCCCCGTCCCAGTGGCCACACTGCCTTGTCCCTGTTCCCATGGCTCTTTCCCTCTCTCCCTCCAGCCTGTCCCTGTCCCCAGGGCTCTGTCCCTGTCCCCAGGCTGTCCCCGTCCCTCTGGCTCTGTCCCCACGACCTGTCGCTGTCTCTCTGTCCCCCTGTCCCCATGGCTCTGTCCCTGTCCCCAGGCTGTCCCCATCCCCATGGCTTGGTCGCTGTCCCCCTGTCCCCATGGTTCTGTCCCTGTCCTTAGGGCCTGTCCCTGTCCCCATGGCCTGTCCCGGTCCCCTCTGTCTCTGTCCCCATGGCCTGTCCCGGTCCCCAGGCTGTCCTGGTCCCCATGGCTCAGTCGCTGTCTCATTGTCCCCCTGTCCCCATGATTCTGTCCCTGTCCTTACGGCCTGCCCCTGTCCCCATGGCCTGTCCCGGTCCCCTCCGTCCCCGTCTCTGTTTTCCCCCCGCCCATCCCGGGCCGCCGCCATTCCCTCCCCCGTTCCCCCCTGACCCCGCCCCCTCAACAACCCCGCCAACATGGCCACGCCCCTCGCGCGTGACGTAAAATTGGGGAAATGAACGAACCCTCCCAAAGCCGGCGGTTGCGGGGGCGTGGCCTCCGCGCCGCTCTCCACCAATCACCGAGCAGAGTGGGGAGGGGGCGTGGCCAACCCGCCTTCCTGCTCCGGTGCCGGCGGAGGTGGCTCGGGGGTCCCGGGGGGGACCGGGGCGGGATGTGGGCGGTTCTGGAGCTCGGAGGGTCCCAGGGGAGGGGGGCACAGGCAGGGGACCCCGGCTGGGGCACACAGAGCGACCCTTGGAGGGCGGTCCCGCTGGGCGGGGGGCGTTCAGGGGCACCCACCCCACTGGGGATGGGGCTCAATGGGGGGGTTCAGTGGGGGTCCGGTCTAGGGGGGGCGTCTGAGGAGGTGTCTGGGGGTGCTGGGGGCCCTCGTGTGGGCGTTCCGTGCGTGTGCCCCCCGCCCCGGGTGGGGAACCTCCATGGGCTCACCCCCTGCTCCCACCACAGGACGCGGCTGCGGGTCCGCGACCACCCCAGCGGGAGCGAGGGGACCCCCGGGAGCAGCCAGAACCAGAGCGGAGGAACCCCCGGGACCAGCCAGGACCGAGCAGGAGCGCAGGGACGCCCGAGACCGAGCAGGAGCAGAGGGGGACCCCCGGGACCACCTAGGACCGAGCAGGAGCAGAGGGACCCCCGGGACTGAGCAGGAGCGAGGGGAGCCCCGGGAGCACCCACAACCAGAGCAGAGGGACCCCCGAGACCAAACAGGAGCAGCGGGACCCCCGGGAGCAGCGGGAGCACCCAGAACCAGAGCAGAGGGGCCCCCGGGACCGAGAAGGAGCGAGGGAACCCCCGGGAGCAGCGGGACCCCCGTGCGGCCGGTGCTGCAGGCAGGTGCGTGGGGCGCAGATGTGCCCAGCTGTGACACGCGGCTGTTTCTCACCCTCCGGTCCCTCGGTGACCCCGGGGGGGTCCCGGGACGCCCCTGACCCGTTGTCCCCTCCCAGCATGGCGCAGTGGCAGGAGGTGCAGGGCTTGGCCAACACTTACCTGGAGCAGGTGCACCAGCTGTACGCGGGCTCGGCGCTGCCCATGGCCGTGCGCCAGTCCTTGGCTGCCTGGATCGAGAGCCAGAACTGGTACCGGGGGAAAAAAGGGGCTGGGGGCGGTACTGGGGGGAACCGGGGCTGGGGGCGGCACCGGGGCTGGGGGCGGTACCGGGGGGGAACCGGGGCTGGGGGCGGCACCGGGGTTGGGGGCGGTACCGGGGGGTGTGGCAGTGTTTGAGGGTCGCCAGGTTGAGGGAAGAGATGAAAATCTTGAGTTCATGTTTCAGAAAGCTGATATTATATATTATATTATATTATATTATATTATATTATATTATATTATATTATATTATATTATATTATATTATATTATATTATATTATATATCATATAATATCATATATCATATAATATCATATAATATCATATCTCATATCATTATATTATATCATATTAAAATAATAATTATTTATTATTATAATTAATAATAATAATTATATAATATTAAAATAATAGTGTCTATAATATATATTATTTGCTATATAGTATAGCATTTTAATATAATATAATCTGATCTAATATGATATGATATAATATGATATAATTACTATACTAAAACTGTAAAAACCCATACTATACTAAATATATAATATAATACTATACTAAAAAAATAGAAGAAACGATTTCATCAGAAAGCTAGAAAGGAATGAATAATAAACAGACTTTCCAGTTTCAGAAGGCTTATATTATATTATATTATATTATATTATATTATATTATATTATATTATATTATATTATATTATATTATATTATATTTCAGGGGGTCAGGGGGGCGAAAAAATCCTGGCAAAGGGACTTTTATGAAATGAAAAAATGGATTTTTATAAAATAAAAGGGATTTTTATAAAATGCCCCAGGGTGAGGGGGGCCCGGGCGGGGCAGAGCCGGCGCTGAGCCCGCGCTGCCTCAGGCGCCAGGCAGCGGAGCCGCTCTGCTCGCACGCCCGCATGCTGTTCCACTCCTTACTGGTCTTACTGGGAGAGCGCCTGGGCAGCCTGGGCTCGGACCGCGAGGATTTCATGCTGAAGCACAACCTCCGCAAGGCTCACCGCGACCTCCAGGTGGGATTCGGGGCGGGGGGGAGGGCAGTGGGGAGGGGTCTCCGCGCCGCGCTCACGCCCCCGAGCCCTCCCCAGGCTGAGTTCGAGGAGAAGCCGGAGAGATTCGCCAACCTGGTGGCCAACCTGCTGCAGGAGGAGCGGCGGATCCTGCGCCTCGGGCAGGCCGAGGGGCAGGTAGGGAAGGGCTGTGCGACCCCCCCTGCCCACCCCGGTGGTCCCCCTGCAGCGCCCCCCACCCCATTTCTCCCTCCTTAGGCGGGGTCGGCCCCCGCGCCCAGCCCAGCCCCGGAGAGCGGGCGGGAGCAGCAGATCCAGCGGCGCTTGGCTGAGTTCCACACAGCCCTGCAGGTAACCCCACGACCCCTGAGACCCCCCGGGATCCCCTCCGAGCCCCCCCGACCCCTCCTGACCCCTCCGTGCCCGCAGGAAGCCGAACGAGCCTTCAGGCACCTGGAGGATTTGCAGGATGCCTTCGACTTCTGCTTCAAGGTGCACTACCAGCCAGGTGAGCCTCACACCGGGGAGATGGGCAGGGAGGCGGGGTGGGAACTGCCCTGCGAGCCCCCCAAAACCCTGAGCGACCCCGCTGCCCTCAGGTGAGGAGAGGAACCGGGACCCCGGGTACCTGCAGGAGCTCCAATCCCTCCAAGCCAAACTGCAGAACCTGGACCGGCAGCGGCGGGTGAGAAGGGGGAGCTCGGGCTGGGTTTTTGGGGGGGTGGGGGGGGTCCTACCCACCCTGAGCACCCCATTCAAAGCCAAATCTCCCTTCAGGAGGTGCTGGCTCAAATGCAGCAGCTTTTGGGGCGCAGTGAGACCCTGCAGGAGCTGCTGCAGCAGGAACTGGGGGGCTGGAGGGTGCGGCAGCAGCACCTGTGCCTAGGGGGCTCTGCCGACACCAACCTGCGCCCGCTGGAGACCTGGTAAGATTTTGGGGGCTTGTGGGGGGGCTCGGGGGGGCTGCAGCCGAACCCCTCTGAGGTCCCTGAACCCCGCAGGTTCACGGAGTTGGGCCAGGGGTTGTTCCAGCTGCGGCAGCTGCTGCGGGCGCTGGGGGACCTGCGACAAAAGGTGACCTACGCCAGGGACCCGCTGGTGGCAGAGACGCCCCTGCTGGAGCAGAGGCTGCAGGAGCAGCTCACCCATCTGCTCAAGAGGTGGGCTGGGCCAGGAGGGCTCCAGGGTGGAGAGCAGGAAAAGGTTCTTCCCCCCAGAGGGTAGTGGAGAGCTGGGGAAGCTCTCCAGGGAATGGTGACCGGGGGTGACAGAGCTCCAGGAGTGTTTGGACAACACTCCCAGGCACGTTTTGGGGTGTTTGTGCAGGGTCTTGAGTGGGATCAATGGTCCTGATGGGTTCCTTGCAGCTCTGGGTATTCTGTAATTCAAGAGGTCAGGGAGGGTTGGGGAAATGCTCTGGGATTTGGGGGAAAATCACTGGGGAAGCTCTCCAGGGAATGGTGACCGAGGGTGACAGAGCTCCAGGAGTGTTTGGACAACACTCCCAGGCACGTTTTGGGGTGTCTGTGCAGGGTCTGGAGTGGGATCAATGATCCTCATGGGTCCCTTGCAGCTCTGGATGATTCCAGAGGTCTCCAGGAAATGGTGACCGAGGGTGGCAGAGCTCCAGGAGTGTTTGGACAACAATGGGGTGGGATTTTGGGGTGTCTGTGCAGGGTCTGGATGATCCTCATGGGTCTCTTGCAGCTCTGGGTATTCTGTAATTCAGGAGGTCAGGGAGGGTTTGGGCAATGCTCTGGGATTTGGGGAGAGATTTGCGGTGCTTGTCCAGCAGCTGGACTTTGATCCTCATGGTCTCTTCCAGCTCTGGGTGTTTGGACACCACTCAAATATTGAAATTTAGGACAGGGCAGGTTTTGGGGTTATCCTGTGCCAGGAGTTGGACTTTTGATGGATCCCTTCCATCTCTGAGTGTTTGGACACCACTCCAACATTGGGATTTAGGAGATTTTGGGGTTGTCCCATGCCAAGCCAGGAGTTGGAGATCATCCTGATGGATCCCTTCCATCTCTGGGTGTTTGGACACCACTCAAAAATTGAGATTTAAGACAGGACAGATTTTGGGGGTGTCCCATGCCCAAACCAGGAGTTAAACCTGCATGGCTTCCCTCCAACCTGGGATTTGCCAGGATTTTCAGCC